CCCGGCTGCCTTATTTCCTAGGACGTGGGAAGCTTCCCACCCTCCTTCCTGTCCCCTTCCCCCACCCGAACTCCGGAGTTCTCCCCCGAAGGTCTTTTGCACTATAAGCTGCACTATAAGCGCCAAGGAGCCCATGCGTGGCAGGGAGGGCTGAGTCTTTGGAAGCTCGTGAGGCCTCCGGCCCAGCCGGAGTGGCAATAAGCTTGGGGACTTTCTGTTCTGGGTTCTGACGTTGGTTTGTTGCGCTCTTTTGTAAGAGGAATTTCATACCTTGGAGACGCTTTGTACATATTTGTAATGACTTTATTAAAAAATTGGTTGTGCACTTCCAGTGAAAGACCCTGCTGTTTTTATTTCCTTTGGGAGAGGTTGGTGCTCAAAGGCCGTGGGATTATCCAGCTTCGCAATGGAGTGTCCGTGCCCTGATCCCGAAAACACCAACCTTCCCTGGCAGAAGGTCACATGCCCACCTTCTTCTCTAATTCCAGAGACAGTCCCAAGGGAAGAGCTGGCCTCAACAGGGCCCTTGGGCGACAACAGGTTTAGGGAACTGCACAAGTTCCAGGTCAGGATACAAAACCATACTTTGTTTTATTGTTTTGTTTAGGTTTTTGCCTTATGTGTACTCATTCTCTGGAGAGAGAAAGAGAGAGACAGTGAGAAATCACCCCCGTGGGGGATGGCCATGCCACATTCCCTTCTCTCCCATTCTCCTTCCACACCTTGGGCAAGCATGTACACACACCCAGTGTGATTTTCAAGCCACCAGGTTGGAGACTCAAACCGTGGACAGCCATGTGGGAGTCCAGTGACATTAACTGCTACACCATCCGCTGATCTCACAAAGCCATACTTTGAGTGGTGCCCTGTGGATAAGCCATGAACCCTCAGGCTGATTCTCCAACTATGGGCAAATAGGTCACCCTGGGCTGGGTACTTCCACCTGCATTTACCTGGTCTAAGATACACCAAGAGACCAGGTTCTAGTTTTTCTTAAGAATGGTGGGTTGAGGACAGGTTGATTTTTATTTTATTTCATTCTTTTCAGATTTGTTATAGGACATGTGCACTCATTGGAGAGACACAGAGAAGGGGGGAGTGAGAAAGCACCCCCGGGGGACGCATACTGCAACCCCCTTTCCTCTATTCTCCTCTTGAGATTTTGGACACACATGCACACACACCTGGCATGTTTTTCAAGCTGCTGGGTCTGGGACTTGAACCACGCAGTTGGCAATGTGAGACAGAGCAAACTCAATCACCACACCAGTTGGTTGGACCAAATTTTTAAAATAATAGGCTTCTTCTTTCCCTTTGAAGACCTATGGCTTCCCCACCCTTAGTCCATCTGAGTTAGAGGAGCGGACTCCATCCTCCCACCCACCTTGAGCCTCACCTTCAGGGCTTAGCACCTGACCCTGGCCTGGTTGGTGCTCTGAATCCTACAGGCGGAAGTAACTGGCTTAGGGGCAAATGAATGAAGGTCAGGCTTAGAACTTCTGCTGGGGCTTGGGGTGCAGATTCCCTTTAGGCTGTGTTTTTTTAAAAAAATAATTATTATTATTTTCACATGAGTTTTGCCAGAGAAAGAGAGAGGGAGAAAGTAAGCTGCCAAATTGGGATTTGAACTAGAGTCAGTCATGTGGGGATTCCAACGCCTTAACCACCACGCCACCTGCTGGCCCGTGGTTGTTTTTCTGAGAGTGTTTTTTGCTATGGTGCACATGCGCTCACGAGAGACAAAGAGAAAGTGAGAAATCACCCCCGTGGGGTATGGCTACGCTGCAATCCCTTCGTTATTTTCCTCTCGGGATTTTGGGCATGCTTATATACGCACCCAGTGTGAGTTTCAAGCCATCAGGTCCAGGACTTGAACTGCAATCGGTCGCATCTGAGTCCAGCACCTTAACCAGTATGCCACCTATTGGTCTCCCTAAATCACATGCACCTTGACAGGATCTGCCTGAAGAGAAATCAACCTGGGATAACCACCCACTCCACAGAGTACATCTTCTTACTGGACCCAAGACACTCCCTCTTGGCTTCAATAAGCAACAGGAGAATTGGGTCCATGAACATGCGTCATGTCAACATGGTGTTTATTGGCAGAAGGGCTGGCTCTGGAGGGGACATCAAAAACTCCAACGGCAACTGTTCATCCCAGAGCAGAAGGACTAAAAGATTCCAGGACTCGCTTTACAGTTCCTCCTTCCAATCCCAAGTCCTTGCAGGCCGGATCTCTCTCCCCCAACACTCTCCTGAAGGTGAGGACCCTCTCAACGACCTCAGTCCAAAGCTTGCCCTTCTGATCCCTTGACACTTATTATTCTCGCAGTCTTTTACATGGAGAGGACTAGTTCTAAGGAGTTTGTGGAACTCGGGTCAGTGAATCATAAAATATTAAGAGCAGGATACTCCTGAAACCCGGTACTCGATTAATCCAGTTTATGGCAGCTGAACTGCAGCACTAGGACGGGTAAAGGAGAGAGGAGGCGTCCTTTTCCAAGGGGGACACTTGTCCACCTTTACACAAGTGTTGGGGAATTCACAGAGCCTGGCACTTGGAAAACACCATTAGCCCCTGTTTCCCCCAGCTTTCCCATCCAGAAGAAAATCTCCAGTTGGAATAATCCCCCAAAGGGTAGGGAAGGAATAAATAAAACGCTAAACTAAGCCACCCCACCCACCTTGGCATGACCCCAGTATACAATATTCTTCCCCCCACAAGCTGCTGAGTCTGGGACTCGAACTGCTCAGTCGGCCATGTGAGATCCAGCTGCCTTAACCCCATGCCACCTGGCTGGCCTGTGCCATTCTGTACGTTATCACATACATGGCTCATTTGCAGAATGTGAGAAGACACTTCCCCCCAATGCCATGGGTATAATTGGCAAAACCACCAGTGTACCCACGAATAAGTGACATCATTCATTTGCTCAGTGCCAGCAAGTAACCTACTAAGTGCTGTCACTCTGGGAGAGTGACAGGGACTTCCCAAAGTCATGGAGAGTCTGGAACTCGTTCAGGTCTGACTCTCAACAGACTTCATGACACATAGCATGTAAGAAGTCAGCTCCAGTTCCTTGGGCCTTGTAGATGGTACCTCCAGGCAGGCTGACCTTTCTGATAAGAACCAGTTGTAGTGCTGGCCCTATAGCCCAGAGCCGGAGCCCACATGGTCAACTGTGGTTTGAGTCCCGGGCCCAGTGGCTTGAAAAACACACCATATGTTTGTGTCCCAAATCCCAACAGGATGGAGAGAAATGGAGGAAAAAGGACTGCCCCAATAGAGGGGAGGGAGTTCTCTCTCTCTCTTTCCTTCTCCCTCTCCTTTGCAGATGTCGTCTAGCAATTAAAAAAAAAAAAGGAAGGAAAAAGCCAGTGGTAGAAGTTCTTGTTGCTTTTTCAAGGAGACCAGAGTAGCCATGGCCACCATTGGATTCTGTCCCCCCTCTCCCGGCTGGCTTCCCCTTCCCGCTCCATTATCCAGGCAAGTGGGATGGTAACAGCGTGGTCATTGCCATAGTAACAGAGCTTGAAAGATGCCCTGCAGAGGACCAGGGAAGAGTGAGCCAGGGCTGTCAAGCAAAGAAAAAAGTCCTGGGTGGTGGCCCACAGCAGCAAGTGTCCTGGGTCTCCTGGGGGGAGGGGCATGTCAATATGGGCTGAGAAGGAGGGGGACAGAGGCACCCCCATTTCCCAGGGGAGCGTGTATGTTAACTCACTCACTAGCCACACAGATGGTCCTCTGTAGTGCGGCTGGCACCAGCCCACCGTGTCCAGGTGGACGAGAGGACGGAGCTGGGAGAGGGTAGGGCAGTGGCTTCGGGCTGTCTCACCCCAGGGCCATGGCAGGAAGTTCCATAGGTGGAGGAGTAGCTCTGGGCAGAGGAGAGCTCTGTGAGACCCAGCAGAAAGAAACCACCACACCAGCTCCTGAAAACATCCCTAATGGGATTGTCCCTTTAGGTCACTGGGGCAAAGGCCATGCCCACAGGAGCTACAGACAGCCTGAGATTTAAGTGAGGAAGAGAACAGACAAGAAAGAGAAGAGAAATAGAGGGGAGACCAAGTGGTATCCAACTCCGGGCCCATGCCGGTTTTCTCGACACCCACATTGGATCGAGCATACCAGCCAGAACCCAGGGAGAGAGTGATGTTTTTGTTCAGTTTGTTTGTTTGTTTGTTTTGCCATAAGACATGTGTACTCTCTGGAGAGAGACAGAGAGAGGGAAAGTGAGACATCACCCCCCCACGGGGCATGGCCACACTGCAATCCTCTCTCCTCCATTCTCCTCTTGGGGATTTTGGGCACACATACACATGTGCTTGGCATGTTTTTTTAAGCTGCTGAGCTGAACCTGAACCACAAGGTTGGCTATGTGGGACCCAGTGCTTTAATCACTACACCACTACTTATGTGTGTGTGTGTGTTTTAATCTGCTATAAGGTGTGTGTGCTCTCTGGAGAGAGACAGAGAGAGAGGGGGAAAATTAGAAAGCAACCCCAGGGAAGACGGCCATGCTGCAACCCATTCTCTTCCCATCTCCGCTCAGGATTTAGGGAACACACGCACACGCCCCCAGCGTGTTTTCAAAGCCACCGGTTCTAGGACTTGAACCGCACAGTCAGCCATGTGGGATCCAGTAATCTCAACACCATGCCACCTGCTGGCCCGCATTTGTGTTCTGAAAATGCTTCACAGTGATTTGAACAGGCAGGTCTGGGCCATCTGCAGGGAGCGGGGAGGTTCCGGCTCCTCCCCAGTTTGCAGCATCCAGTACTAAATACCAGGCCCAAAGTACTAGGCTGAAATAACCAACAGGTGGGAACTTCACGTCTGCCCAGTTCCTTGACTTGGAGTGAGGATGGGAGGCCG